AAAAAACCAAAGAAACTTATAGTATCTTTCATTTACAAAAAAATAATTAAACATTTAAATAAAAAAGATAACAAATGAGATCACGCCTGTTAAAAACCGTTAATACTTTTGTCAAAAGTTAAAAATAACCGCTGTCCTTTCATTTTTAAGTTAGAGGCTGATATGTTTTGTATGATATGGTCCCATCTGATGAAACAAATACCTATATTGTCATCAGTTCTGAAATTTTTCTACTATCAACACAGATTTTGCAGAAAATGACCTGATCTTCTTCGACTCCTGTAGGTACATGACAATTATTTGTTGGAGACTGATAACTCTTGTTATAGGGTCATGCTATTCGCTAATTTCTTCTTGGAATTTTTTTAATGACAGTTACTTGTTGGGCCTGCAAGATTCTACTAATTCTAATAGTTTTTTAACATGACAGTCTTTTCGATTTATAAACCAATAAGGCTTTAATTTTATTTCCTTTATATGGGAAAACTAGTTCACTCTAAAGAGCAACTATTCTTTACACTTATATGGTTCTTATTATATACACTACTTAGAAATTTGTTTATCTATGCAAATTTATATACTTCAGAGGTTTCACATTTTTGTCTCTATTCTTGAAACTAGCGAATGTAAATCACTTGCAGTGGGTGCACTTTTCTTGACTGCATCTTACTATGTCAATAACATACTAACACATACTATTTCTATACTGATGCTGCTAGCATCTTTATAATTTTAACGCTTTAATTCTTTTAAATCATATTATTAACAGTGTGCGTTGCCAAAATTTCTCGGAAACTACCTATGTATCATATGTTTGTACCTTGCAGGCACATCTTTTTATTGGTATCAGTTTAGTTCATTTTGGGGTGTTGTATCTCGAAATTGAAAAACGGAATTTATACGGTTTATGGGATTACGTTGCTGTCCGTCTGCCTGTCCATTAAGATCTTTTTCTCTGAGGTGCGGCCAGAGATTTCGGGTTGAAATAAGCAAGAAATACCGAAGTCTTTAGTCACTCATCTTGTCATTTCTAACTGACCTAGAATTTTGAAATTTCGAAGGAAAAACTCATAGTATGAGCAAAAGAAAACCCTAAAATCATTAATTTCTACTCCTACATAGAACTATTCCTTGATTAAGTTAATTTGAATGTTTATTTCGTACAGCGTAGAATAAAAGGTGTACTAAGAAAGCCGCCTGATTTTCGATGGCGAATAATCCCATCAAATTGTTACAGCTAACATTTTAACATCTGAATAATTTATTTCAAAGAGGACTGACTAGATAAATAAATTTTTAAAATGTTCTACAATAAACCTACCCTGTATAAATAGAAATTTTTAATATCCTATGTACAGTGGAATCTATTTATGATTACTCCGCCTATATCGACCTATCCCTTAATAACGTCGTAGTATCCTTACCTAAAAAGTGAGGCGCGGATGGGTGTGAGACATTTAGCAAAATTAGCTTAACTTCCTATGCGTCAAAAATCTTAACTAGAATTGTACAGAGGAAGATGGAAAAAAGGGGGAATAACTATTAGGGTAAGATCAGTTTGGGTTTAGAAGAAACAGAGGAACGTGGGAGGCCAATCTAGCATTACGAGTAACAATAGAGAAAACGATAGAAGAAAGAAAGAGGGTGTACAAAGGATTTGTAGATTTAGAAAAAGCTTTTGACAATGTTAAATGAGACAAGATGCTAAATATATTTAAAAATATAGGGATGAGTTACAGAGATAGAAGAGTGATATTTATATAGTTTGTATAAAGAGTAACAGACAGTTATAGGGATAGGGCTGCAAAGTAGAGAAGTAAATATTAGGAAGGGTGTCAGACAGGGATGCACGCTGTCGCCGCTACTTTTTAATCTATACATCGAAGACGCGATCAACATCATTACAGACAGTACAACAACTGTAGGGATAGGTATACAGGGGCAAAGGATTAGTATTCTTAGATTTGCAGATGATATAGCAGTATTAGCATTTAACAAGGAGGAGTTAGAGATAGCTTTAAATAAAACGGAATCGGTATTGACAAAACAGTTCTATATGAAAATAAATAAAAGTAAAACAAATATATCGGTCTCCTGGTTCACAGCAATCACCTTCTTCTAGCTGGTTGGTAGAGTATTAGTGTTTAAAACCACCCGGGTTCGATTACCAGCAAGGAAGTAACAGCAACAACAATATTTTCTCATTAATTTGAGGTTTTCTTTACTGAAATGTGCCTCCACTAAATTTCACTCTATTCGGCCCATTGGTATTCCTATCCTATTTACACTTGTCCATCGTTTTTAATTTGTAGTAGTAGGTATACTTTTGAAATTTTGTACGACGCGACGTCATATTTACATCTATGATGAGTCACTATTACTTTTCCTCTTTTTTATTACTTTAAATGTCTCTTTAAATAAATTACTAAGTCGTGATTATTTCAGTCTTATGACAAAGAACTGGAATTTGTTGCTCAATGCTGGGCTAATAATTGCATGTCAAATGGAAGATTAAGGGACATATACGATACCTGTAGAAAAACTAGTCGATATAAAAAACCTGGACAAGCTGTGTTTGTATTCACCGTGGTATCTACTCAAATTAAAACTATCAATTTTGAAGATATGATTTATTTAGATAAAGCCATTTTTAGTTGGTACAATGAAATTTTACAATTTACTGAGGATGAACAGCGTCAAATGTTTGACCTATATACTTACAGGTAATACAATTAGAATTATGTTTCAGTTAAGCTTGTTATTTTAAAAAGAAGTGACTATTTTACATATAACCAAGTTTGTTTAAAATACGTATTATTAAATTGTCATTATCCTACAATAAAATAAAGTACTATTGCTTTATGTATCTCTATAATCCATACCTATGACATTCTAGGCCGTGGATGTTTCTATGAAATTTGAACATCCTATATGAAATTTCCTTTCTCTCCCCTTTATTATAGAATGCGCCGAAACTACCTACCCTGATGTACAAATAACTCGGAAACCAAGGGTTTTGTAAAACAGTATTCCATATGAAAAATGTGGTATTTTTTTCTTTAGTGACCTCGAAAATTAACATATAAAAAAGGTGTGAACTAAAATCAAATTTTATCAAAATCCTACAGATATACCATCCAAATCCATGTTGTCTGCATCTATACGATTGTGATAAAAATTAAACTTACGATTAGTTCACACTTTATTTAAATTAGTAGTTACAAGTAGATATATTTGGGATAAAATCCTTTTTTCATCAGATTAGTGCGGAATCCTTTCATAATAAAATTAATATCTACCAATATAAATAAAAAAACTTGTATTAGCGAGCGTGTTACTACGTCTAGGTACTTACATGGAAAAGCGTCGGGGAAAGAAGTGCCAGTCACAACGCATTAGAGCGCGATAACGATGCTGTACTGTATTAGGATGCTGTCTCTAGGTATTTATGCACTAATTCGTAAGTAATACTTTCATAGGGAGTCGATCAGGTTGGTCTTTTGGATTGCATTGAGGGGTCCTTACTTAGCTACAAACGTTTTGTGGCTCTTGGCCGATGATCTCTTCAAAATAATAAAACTGTTGAAACTACAGAACATCTAAATTTAAAAAAACTATTAAAACACGAAATATGCGATTCTTCTAGAGAATTAATTACATATATGATGTTTGTTACTTGAGTTACTTCTGAAATAAGTGTAGAGCATTGGAGTAATAACGAAGTCTGAGTTCGGTTCTGGCGTGATATGGAAACGTAGCAAAGGTGTAGTGCAATGAATACCAATAAGATCTGCTACATCGACGGAATGTAAACTAAGATGATAAGAATGCACCAACAGTTCCCTTAAAATTCGCCATACTGTCACTTGATAGGAGGCAACGCTCTGTGCAATTTTGCGAGTTCTATTTTTCGGGTTGATTTCTATGAAATCAAGGATTTAATCTTTTACAGCGGCGATATGGTTCGGGTCCGTACAAAAACGTCATGTGCAAAAATTCTGTCATAGTAAACGCCATTGTGATAACAAATATTCTACAGTGACACACTGTCCTACTTCAATGTGGTAGTTATTTGTTCTTTTAACGTTTCAACCTTATATTAGTTAATCGATGTACATTTTAATAAAATATTTCAAGATCAGTTTTTGATGTAGATCAATGTGCTATTTTACAACATTTGTTATTACTATAAACGCCGTTATAATAACAATTGTTCTGTAGTGACACGCTGACCTATTCCAAAGACTGATGTTGAAATATTTTATTGAACTAAATGTCGATTGACTAAATATAAGATTAAAGAACAAATTACTACTACAGGCTGACTGTAACTCCTTGTATCATTCTTAACCTAATCTAGCAAATAACAAATAATATATTAGTAAACAATACGAGGGTGGATTGATAAGTTTCCGGCCTAACCAAGAGATGACGCCACTAGGCCTACCTTGAGGTGACATTCTATAGTACCATCCTTGGATAGCTTGTAGCTATAGTTTCAGCCCGATCTCCTTGCTAGTGTAGGTTTGACAGCACGCTGAACAAGACGCCTCTGTGGTTTTCGTAAAAATGGAAAAGCAGGAAAATCGTGCTGTCATCAAATACTTTTATTTGAAGGGGTTAACGCCGAAGGAAATTAAAAAAGAGATGGACTCAACACTGGGGACATCCTCCCCGTCATATTCAACCGTTAAGCAGTGGGTTTCCGAGTTTAAAAAGGGTCGTGTGAGCACCTCTGATGGGCCTCGCTCAGGACGCCCCGTTGAGGTCACAACTCCAGATATGATCGAAAAAATTCATCAAATAGTGCTGGGAGACCGCAGATTGAAAGTGCGTGAGATAGCTGAGACCTGTAAGATGTCATATGAACGTGTGCAACATATTTTGCACCAACATTTGCATATGGAAAAGCTCTGTGCAAGATGGGTGCCGCGTTTGCTAACAGTCGACCAAAAATTGATTCGAAAAAACATTTCTACCGCAAATTTGTCATTGTATAAGCGTAATCCAAGCGAATTTTTGCGTCGATTCGTAACCGTTGACGAAACGTGGGTCCACCACTACACTCCTGAAACCAAAGAACAGTCTAAACAGTGGATTGGACCAGGGGAACCAACTCCAAAGAAGGCAAAAACAATTTTTTCGGCGAACAAGGTTATGGCTACTGTTTTTTGGGATGCAAGAGGTATTATATACATTGATTACCTTGCAAAGGGTAATACTATCACTGGTCAATACTACGCAGACTTATTGCAACGTTTGAGCCACGAGGTGAAAATTAAACGACCTCATCTGGCGAAGAAAAAAATCTTGTTTCATCACGATAACGCACCAGCGCACACGTCAATCGTTGCGACGGCTAAAATCAACGATCTAAAGTTTGAATTGATGCCGCACCCTCCTTACTCTCCAGACCTAGCCCCGAGTGACTATTTTCTGTTCCCTAATCTCAAAAAATGGCTTGGCGGTAAGAGATTTGCGGACAATGAAGAAGTAATCGAAGCTGTAAATGGTTATTTTGAGGAGCTTGACGAATCAGTCTATAGAGATGGCATTATAGACTGGAACACCGCTATGAGAAATGTATCAGCCTTGGAGGAGATTATGTTGAGAAATAAAAAAAAAAAAATTTTTAAAAACCTTGTTTTTCTTGGTCAGGCCGGAAACTTATCAATCCACCCTCGTATAGAAGAAGTACAATACTGGTACTGGTAATTACCAGATGATTGAATGCAGCGTTGCGTTGTTGTATTTCTCTGCTCCATTTGCCAGACCCGTACTATTAGCTTTCGACAGCGGCGAACTTTTGGACTTGCAAACTTCATTTTTTTGTTCTATATGGCCGCATCACTACCTGGAAGCTGTATAGTTATTTCAAAAACACCATGTATGTGAAGACTATATAACAATAGGCAATTCGTTCGTCAGCAACTTCTTATAAATGTCAGACCTAGATTGCAATTGCAATTTCAAAAGATATAGTACTTGTCAGCATATCGTATGTTTCTGTTAATTCATTAACCAGGCCGAAGATGCTGCATGTAAACAGAAGCAGTATGTCGCCGTATGTTTAGATGTTGTCCAGTTTTTTGGAAAACTGAATATTAGCAGTAAATGTCTACTCCTGGCGACATAATGCTTCTTCCACGACAGAATTATTAATCATTCAGTTATTTCAATACAAACGGAAGACGCTATTTCGAAATTTACTAAATCAAATTCTGATAAACTCATATTCTTGTTTTGAAATTTTAGGTTAAATGGAAAATCAATGATTAATTTCCTACAACTTACTTATCCAAGAGCAAGATTTGTTGGTTGTGGTCGAAATCAATTTGGATTTGGAAATACCATTTCTTTTTTACTAGTGTGTAATTATGATAGAACACCAAAGATTGGGCAACCCGTGTATCAATTCGGCGACAAGTGTGCCTCCAATTGTTCCATGAAATATTTGCATCTTAACACTAAGAAGATGCAAAGACGCAAATATTGCAAATTTAATGTACCTCTAGAACATGGAACGTTACACTTATTAAATTGCATGTATCGTTTTCATGCTGTTGCAGCAAGGCGGCTTTACAATTATGAAGAGTATCCCGACAAAAATCCGTTTAATCCATGTTTGTGTGGCAGACAAAGAGGGCTCAAGGAAGATACGTTTAGTCCACCGTTTGGTGAGTTAGAATTTTTTTGTTTTATTAAAAATCTAACATTATTTTGAATTTCCTATTTCAGATATATCGAGTACGGCACACCGAAAACATAAAATAGATCCTGGTGTTATAGTTCTTCTGTTTTATGTATTTTCATACTTGTAAAGTATACCGTAATAATGTTTAATTATTATTGCTGTTTTTAATAAACTATTTGACATTAGGGAAGACGTCTTTTTAATTTCAAGTTCCTTTAGCAGGTATCTAATGAAATAAGTATGTTTTGTCATCAGCCGTATCCGGGTGTTATGAAATTTATAAGAATTGACCAATGGGTTATTTATATTTTTTCTGATCAATTTATATAGATACGTATTCGTTCTCTTTTTTTTTTCCTTTAGCAGATGAATAGTTTTTCTACGTTTAGATTTTTATTATGCAATTTGTTTGTTGAATATTGGTGTAGGTCAACACGACTTCAGGATAATATTCTATAATTTTAAANACCAACCGACCTACAAGGTTAACGATCCGTCGAACTAATGTAACTATATACTGAATATACTATGATTAAACATACATATAATTTAGATATCTTTTAGAAGTGAGTTAGTTTAATATGAAATATTATTCTGAAAATTCATTTCTGAATTTTTTACCCACTACACGCTACCTCAAATTAATGAGGGAAAAATTGTTGCTGTTGTCACACCCCCGCCGGGAATCGAACCCGGGACCTTTGGCTTTACGCACCAATGTTCTGACCACTAAACTACGAGAGGTGACAACCGCAACAACGACCAACCGACCTATACGGCTAACGATCCGTCGAAGTAATGTAACTATATATACTGAATATACTATGATTAAACATACATACAATTTGGACAACTTTTTTAGAAGTGAGTTAGTTTAATATGAAATATTAATCTGAAAATTCATTTTTTTGAATTTTTTACCCACTACACGCTACCTCAAATAAATGATGGAAAAATTGTTGCTGTTTCTTCTTTGCCAATAAGTAACACAAAAACAATCCTCATTTAAAATCGTGCATTTTTGCGTTAACTATTAACGGTTATCTGGTTAGTCTTCTATTACGAGCGAGATCGAGCTATCTGTAGACAGATTATAGGAAGAACAAAACAAAATAGCTCGAACCCCAACACCAAAACACGACAATGTAGTTATCCGAAGCACTCTTCGGTAACAAGGTTACCTTCTTCAGCGACTGAAGTGAACTTCAGGGGTTCGAACTATTTTGTTTTTTTCTACAACAATCGCCAAAGTTTTTCCAATCTTCATATTTGGATTATAGGAAAGAGAAAGAATTCATTCTTGCATGGTAAGTTGGTCGCTAGAAACTTTCGGGGTTGTAAAGGGAAAGAGAGATTAAAAGAAGGATAGACTATTCGCAGCTTAAGTAGAAGAACGAAATGAGCAGTTTCGACAATACAGACCACTTCGACTTATTTTATTCTATTATGGTAACGTGCCTATCACGTTGAGGTTGGTTGTTGGAGCATACGTAATCCTAAAATGTAGCATCGTACTACCGATGGCGTTTATCGCGCCATTTGTGGTATTTTCTAAAGCAAGATAGTATCTGTACAGAGATTCAAACCAGCATATGGGCGATCCTACGTTAAGAGGTCGTCTGATGATGGAAAAGTGGCGTGATATAAATATTTAAAAATATGTTTTTTTCCGAAGTTGTACTATGTAATCAAGTATTTTGTATACTACTTTAAGATGGCCAGTCAATTAATTCATTTTTACATGTTTTATAAGAGACCAGGGGAGATACTCTATACAGGGTAGAGACATTTATATATTTTTTTCGTGATAGTTTATAACTATCAAAGACTTTTAAATCTTCATACAGTCTTCTTAATATAACTTGAATTATTAAACATAGAAAACAAAATTCGTTAGTATCTGCATAAACAAAAACCACATAATAATTTCTTTTTCTATAAAAAAA